TTATACATATAGGTACTACATGTGGACCTCTCTCAGATTTGTTCATTTTCTAATGATATCTTCTGTTCTTTAATTGCCATGTGCATTGCTAACAGCGGAGCTATCTCAGCCGACAGGCTGCTTGTTTTTAATGTCATGTTTAATGATCCAACATTCAATAAATCTCATTTTTATGTGCGCTTCTGATAGAGTAAATATGGTACATGCTCCCACTTTTTCAACAACTGTCAGCTTTCACAAAAATTAAAAATATTTGAATATTTTTTCTAAATTTTGATTAAAACCTTTTGTCACCGGTAAATTACCGTTAAAGTCCTAATATAAACCGCATACGTAATAGTAACCGCACCCTCAATTCCGGCTTCGGGGTTAAAGAGTTCTTAACAAAAATTGAAAACTTGAAAAGTACCTATTACTAACCGCACCCCCAATTCAACAAGACCGTGACTGACTTCATTGTTTCAACCAGCTGTTCCAAAACGGCATTGTTCCATAGACCCTCCAATCTACTGGAGGGTCTATGATTGTTCCTAATCCTATTCATTTGTTTCGACAACATGCCTAAAAATATTCACACCTATTTATTGTTCAGCGGTGATAAGATGTCAGACAGGCAATGAAACTGCTTTTGTTCTGGCGGCGACCTCTGTCAATACTCTTTCTGAATACGTCTGTGTTTTGTAAGTTTTAGACAATGAGCTTTTATCACTGTAAAAGTGTTAAACTGAGCATTGAAGAATAATTTATCTTTCGAAAACAAATAATTTCTTGATTTAAAAAAAAAATCATGCCGTTTTCCCATAGAAATCAAAAGCAAAATATCGCACTACATTATCGGTAAATCTCTTCCGTGTTGCGTTCACCATGAGGTCGCTGAACTGTCATTAACATATTTAAATGAGCTATGTAATTTAGACACGTGGGCACCATCCAGCATTTTGATTGGTTAATTGGCGACTTGACCAATCAATAATACGTCATGTGAGCATTCAAAAACATGGCGGATATCGTATCGGCTGTTTACATGTGACTGAAATCATTCGCTTACGGGGAAACTAAGTTGAATTTTACTTGCATTTTATAACAATTCAACGAATTTATTTTTCGTGCGTTATTGTAATCACTACTAAATAATAATCACCAATATCAACACTTCGAAAACAAGTAAGTTATTCACTTGTGACCCGCAGCATGGCCGGATCGAGCTACCGTTATGTGATCATTTGCTACTAAGCAGTGCATTCGTGTTTTTATTTGAAACTTCTGTTAGAATATAGTTTTCGTTACCAAGAAAATTAAAAAAATAAATGCATATTACATTAAAAATACTGAGTATTTTTTGTATCATGTGGAATTTTTTTTTGATTGACTGTAATTTTTCAACATTTCGTAACGCGTATTTTAGAACCAAAATAAAGCCTTCTTCCCCGACGCCTGTTCAAGAGATTGTACGGTGTATTGTTTGTTTTGTGCATGTGTTGTGGACAAAAAATGACCACGCCCATTTAGTAATTGCAATATGTACATAATAGAAACCGCACCCCGAACTTGAGCTTTTGATCCCAATTTTTAAATTGATACATTGTAATATAAACCGCGGTTTATAATAGGACTTTAACGGTAAGTCTATTTAATCCAAAATTACATTAAAATGTGAAAAATGTACCATCTACATTTGGACGGGAAAAACTTTAAAATTCATGTATTATTGTATGTGTTCTAGTATTGAACATTTTGATTCAAATCAAATACAAATCTCATTGTCGTATTACACTATGTCACTGCCACTTTTTCCATGCCATTTTTTATTAAAATATTCCATTCAATAATGTTGAAAGATCAATTTTGAAATCTGATTTAGGTATTTTAGAAATTTTAGGCGGGAAAAGTTGTGTTGGTGATCACGACTAACCTACTGTATTTCTCAGCCTAAGGTAGAAGACATGGAAGACAAGGACAATGAGTTTGGTCTGTTTCCTCCAATAAAAGAGCAGTCACGAAGAGACTCGTCATTTCAGGAGAAATTCTTAGAAGCTTTGAAAGCTGAGAAACTGGGTTCGCAACAGACTTTCAAAGATGATAAACTGGACGATGATAGTCGGTCACAGCTTTTTGCACGTTCATGCATAAAACAGTGTAAACATTTACTGTATGCTAAACATTTCCCAATACCGCAAGATGAGATATCAAGCCATGAGTGCAACCAGCGGCTTGTGGTGCTCTATGGAGTGGGTAAAGCAAGGGACGAGGCGAGGCACGCCGTAAAGAAAGTACAGAAGGAAATCTTAAAAATCATAAACAAGAAAGGAGAAAAGGAAAACAGTACGCCGACCAAGGCCAAAAAACATAAATCGGAAGCAATGCCGAGCTTGGATAGTGTTTTTTCAAAGTTTCAGGCGCTTTCGTACTTTGATCAACACACAGTCACTGCCACGTGTGCCAATAACGTTTTAGAACAAGTGCGTAATTTTCATCAGGCAACGTCATATCATTTACCGTCAGTGGATCATATCACTTTTATATTCGACTTGATGGAGTACGCTTTGAATATAAATGGGCTTTTAGATTTTGCGATACAGGTAAGGAGAGATCACATGACTGTTCGTAGATGTACATGTAGATTAGTTTGTTCATTCTTCACTTCTATATTCAAGGTTTTTTTTTAAGACGAGGTCATGCTAGTGTGATATGCGATGAAAATCCTAATGATCACAAACCGCAAGACCAAACTGGGAAAAAGAGGGTTAGTGTCTCAGGTTGTGCTAGTATTACTGCGTATTTACAGGGCGTGTATTATGTGTGTTTGCTGTTATGATAATCTCTCTCATTTCTGTCTATGCAAGCAAACCTTTCCAAGCATCAACTGCATTCTCTAATGCCTTTGGTTAAAAATTTTGTCGATTGGCAAGATTTACCACTCAAGGACTAACATATAAATATTCGATATAACATAATGTAATTTTTTTTTTAATTGAGAGATTTCTCTGATTGCAATTAATTTATGTTTTGTTAATCCAACAACCACGGAATTATGTCATCTCATGCAAGATGCAATGTGTCATACTGCATAATTGGCTAGCGCGACACAATCGGCATAAGTTACTGTATCCTTGCAGAAGGATTCCCACTGACACACAGTTCAGTAGTTTGCATCCAAGTGAAATTATCAGTGCAGTAACTTGGTACTCTCGAATCATTACACAAGACATTGTTCCGCTGTAAAACTCACACACAAATATTCTTGTGATTTTTATCTGCTTACAGTTATTAAATGATGTTAGTTTAGTAGAAGCAGAATTATTACTGAAATCCTCCAATCTAGCTGGCAATTACACCACTAACCTGTGTCTGTGTATAGTCGCCGTCCTCAGAAGATACCATGCATGTCTATTGCTATCTACGGATCAAACTTCAGATGTCTTTGAGTTGTGAGTATATCAAATGATGTAAAAAAAAATTTGGTATCAGTGATCTGCTTGAATATGAAGGGAAGTATACGTTTGGTACACTTAATGTATTGAATTTTCAAAAGATAATCAGAAGATTTTGTTGCAGTCACATTACTCAATAATTTATAGCATGGTGGTTCTTGTGTCACATCGTGTTAAATGAGACTCATAGTGACATATACAGCTTGTGCAAAATACTATCGCTATACATCAAAGCAAGAAACAAAGCCAGACTACGCCTTGAATCAGTTCTAACTGCCGCCGAACTAGGTGTGATTCAATACAGTGCTGCATTGGCAGCAAACCAGGTGGCCATTTGTACTGACAAATACATTGTTTGTTTACACAAAATTTGAACACACACTGCATGGTGACCCCCACCATTCAAGTGTGACTCCCTGTCTAGAAAAATCATGCAATAAAAGCTAGTCACATAATTTCTCTACAAAAATCTAAAGACTCCAATTCCAAACGGTTAAACAGGGCAGGATAGTTCCTGAATGTATTTTAAGCAATCTGTTCTACAACATGTATTATATATTAACTGATGCGAGTTCTCTCACTTCTTCTGTAGTCTATGTGGTGTGGTTAAACATGTGGGTAATGTATCTGACTGTACATCGGCTGAAAGATGTATATTGACTTATCTTTATGATCTATATATATCATGCAGTTATCTTAAGGTGAGTGTACACATGATGTGTTCATCGCTACCATCAAGCTTTTGTACCATAGCCAGCCAGGGCTTGAAATACACCACTACCTTGGATGCCACATGTCCTTCAAACTAGTCAATTATTTGCTTTGCAATTTCATTTAGTGTATATTAAAGATTTCTTATGAATTTTGGCTATGATTCTATGATGTCATACTTTATCCATAATCCTTTACTTGAGAATCAAGATGGCTGACTACATAATACTGATGAAAAGTTGAATATCTAGAGATAAATTGTGATAAAACTGTAAATTGTATTCTCTTACAATTGTAGAGCTTTTTCTTGTGGGGTCATTATGTTGTTTGGCTTGGCTTTTTCTTTAAATTTTGTTTTTAAATGATCAAGTTCAAGCTCAGTCATGTATGATTTGATACATGTACTATCATATACCGTTAATATCTTTATTTTTCAGCATTCTGCATTTTCAAAAAAACTCATTGTGCCTGCTGTATATATATATATAGGACTTTAACAAAAAGTTGTAGTACAAACAGTTGTAAACTAATAAAGGAGAAAACACTGTGCATCATCTGATGTGAACGCATTCAAGGTCATCCTGTTTGTTGGGTTGTTTGTTTCTACTCCTGTAATGATTCTTTGGTCATTTTCTACAGACTAGGTTTTCAGATGGGTTTGCCAGCGTGGCATCTAAAGTGAAGCAAACTATATATGCTAATATCCAGCCATCAGCATCCAATTTTTTATTAGATACGTCATTCATGGTTGAATACATAGAGAACCCAAGGTGAGAGGTAGAATGCATATACAGTATGTGTGTACCATTCGCAACATAGTGCTTGGACATGAACAGTCATATTGACGTGCACCTTGTATAAATTAGATTTCCTGGATGTGCATTTTAATATTGCATATTTGTTATTTCAACAGTCTCATTTCATAATTTGTTCATGAATCTTTCCACAATAGTTTTTTAAATTCTGTGTCATGGAGGAATTGTAGGATGTATTACATATATTATGAGGTTATCACAAAAATGCCGCAAAGTACATGTGTGCACAAAAGCAGTATGATGATTGTGTTAACTGCGATTCAGTACTGCCTGAGTGCGTACTTTGTGGTATACTCGTGATAACCTTATTATTATACATTCAGCTTGATACAATGTAGTAATAATTTAATGGGAGATAACAGCCCATAATGTTAACAACAAATTTGTTTGCACTGTGCGAACACTTGAGTTCAGTGATGTGATTCTGTCAGTCAAGCACTATAGTGAGTTTACGCCCGATGGATTCTAATAACCAGGAACACGTTCAGTGTTGTTGTTTAGTTTACCACAAATAAGATCAAATTTGTTTTGAACAAAAGCAGATTCTGTTCTTTTCAGTGCAACATGTATTAAATCTTATGTGTCTTCTATGTGTGTTTTTTTTCACAGAGGAAAGCAATGCCATCATTCAGTGGTTGGTCGGTTACTCAATGATTCTACACCCAATAGATATAGTTTTGTATGCAATGCTTTACTTAATATATGTAATAGACCTGATACAGATAGGTAAGTCTCCTATTCAACTGCACCAGTCCTACTGAAAATTTTAAATAATCATTTTACAGTTAATTTTTAAGAAGAAGTAACCTCGCCCCTCTCTTTTTCTTTCTATCCCACTCGCACATTGAAGGAATACAAGTTATTTCATACAAAGATATTCATCCCCTCTTCAGTCATTAATATTACAATTACGATACCCCGTATTACGTTCTGTGCATTCTGTATTACATCTTGTCATCATTATAAGTGGCTTATTGGTAACATGTGTCACTTTTAAAATGTCTGTGAATTATCTTCTGCTTAGCTTGTTAACATGTCTGTGCAGGTCCTGCTATTTACATATCAAATGTATGTAAAGATGTGGTTACAGCAATGTTGTCATAATATTGATCTTCTCTAATGTTCTACCATTTGTTTGCAGATTAAATGACATATCCATTCTATGTGCTGAGTTAACTGCCTGCTGTAATGCCTTGAGTTCAGAGTGGCTAGGTATCTTGAAAGGATTTTGTTGTTCGTCCAATCATGATCTAGGTTTCATAGATGTACTTTGCCAAGTGGATGTAAGTTTGGTCGTTAGCATTTTGATTCATATTGAGAATTGAAATTGTACTTATATTGTTGATAATGAGTGATCATAAGTCGTGGGATCAGCTGATATTCGAGATGATGAGTCCAATGTGATTTTGTTTTTGTGATGACAGATAAAACTAAATTCTACTTTATCAAAGAATACTATAAACAATATATTATATGTATGAAAAATTTAGAAAACAATGTTTCAATGTTATTTTTAATACACACTGTTATTATCACTGTCTCTCTGTACATAGGTTGGTGACTTGTCAATCCATGACTCAATAGCAATATTCACTGCTATATTAATAGCAAGACATGGACTCTCACTGGAAGATGTTGTCATGCATGTAGCCATACCATCCATTGTCAATGTCTGCCAATCAGGTCAGTGGATATCTTTAATTTTCAGGTCAGTCGACCAGTCACGTATCAATGTCACAATTCCTATCTCTGGTTAGTGAACATCATTACCAGGTCAGACTCTTAAGTCATTCAATCAGCATTTTCTTATATCCAAGCAAACTATTGAAGTAAAAATTAGAAATAGGTGATTTATTTTATTTGCCATACTGTAGCATTGTCAGATATTTTCATCTTACAGCAGCCATTATTCCCACTTGGTGCCAGTGTGGTGCAACAGGATGATAATGTTAACAATGATATTTATACTGCATGCCATTTGCTTATAAGTTAGAGGTGATAAAAACAACAAGATTTAAACAATATTATTATAGATTCTTTGAATTACAGATGGTAAGGTAAATCAGCCATATTGGAATTAAAATCAGCCATGTTGGATTCAAAATCAACTGTGTTGGGTTCACAATCAACCATCTTATATTCAAAATCAATCATGTTTTATTCAAAATCAGTTGTGTTGATTTCAAAGTAAGTCGTGTTGGATTCAAAATCAGCCATGTTGGATTCAAAATCAGTCATGTTGGATTCAAAATCAGCTGTGTTGAATTCAAAATCAGCCATGTTGGATTCAAAATCAGCCACTTGGTGGTACTATTGTCTATTAACAGTGTGAAAATAAAAACATCAGTAGTGCTTTTCCACCACAAGGGTATTTTTGTTTATTTATTGTTCATACTTCTTTAATTATTCTTTCTGTACAGCTGGTGTAGATCAAGATGCTGAACCTGGCGCTCGTTTAACCTGTCACTTACTGCTGAGGCTGTTCAAAACTACCTCCGATCCAAATGATCAATCTGTATCTAATCGAAACATGGCCAGCATCAAGTCGTCTTGTGATCGCCATCTGTTATCAGCTGCACATCATAGTATTAGCGTAGGACCAGTCTTAGCTGTGCTCAAAGCACTTCTCATGTTAGGTGAGTTTCGTTGTATTTTGTATTCTCGACAATACATTTACATTAATTAGTCACTGGGTTTTAATTTTGCTATTTTCTCTGATGAATAAAATCTGCTAGATTAAATCAACGTGAACATGGGAAATAACAATAAAACTCTTTGTTTTCTTGACAAATTTGTGAAATTAAAACATTGGAAATATGCTCAAAATATCAAAATAGTAAAATTAAATGTCAGTGAAAATAAATAAAAAGAACGTAAGGAATGTCGAGTCAAAAGTTGTATCTCATTTGGACCATACTTTCATTAAGAAACAGTAGACTGAAAAGAGAGAAAATTGTAAAATTTGTAATTTAAATATGCTTTGCGTAGATTTCTATGACAACAATAGTTTGTCAAACTCTGAAAGTTGTTGTGTGTTATTGATGTGAATCCGATTATTGTTACACATTTCCAGTGTGATAACAATTTCCCCCATATGTTCAATAGGAAGTTATCTCCCATAATGCATTGCACATATGTGTATGCTCAGTTACATGCTCAGTAGTGCAAAATTATGAATTTGGATTGATCTTACTTTAATCTATCTTACCTTAGGCGATGCTAATGTCGGTGGCGGTAGTGGTTCTGCTACTGGATTATTGACTTTAGAAGACTTCAGCGATGATCCCCTTTTTGGGTTTTCTAACAAGTCTCTTGGATCTATGGAAACAGCAAGTCTCAGCGACTATGCAAAGTATGTCCTGAAGATGATATGTACGCAAGACTGGGTTCGTGAGAAGTGTCTGAAGGATCCCGAGAATCTGTGTACTCCAGAGTTGCTGTTAGATAATGTATTCACCAACAAGCAGGCAAGAACATATATTATGTACCTAATGGATTTAGTATAAATGTCAATTGCTATTGTTTTTTCCGAACTGATTTGATTCAATACATGTACAATTCAAAAAACTGCCTTTCCATATTACAAAATGAATAGTATTTTGGGATAAAATATCTGCAATAAGATTATTTTAGAAATAGAGTCCAGCATGGAAGTTACATGTATGTGGATTCTATTCAGATTATCATTAAAATTCTAATTCTAACCAGAGTTTGTATTACAATGTGCAAAAATTAAAACAACAAAGTCGAGGCATTTTGTAATGAGTACATATGGCAAGTTCTATTTAAAATTTCAACTCAAGAAAAAAGTCAAAAACGTATATTCATTCATGATCTAAATGAATTTTAAATAAATTATGGGAAACAAAAATCACTGCCAACTCATCTTGGAATCATTCCTCTTCTCAACTAGACATGCCAATGACATCTTTCAAATGTACAGTAGGTGCCCATTTTATCAATATTTTCCCCCAGCTAGGGTACCATCTTTTATGTCCTGAAGAGTTTGATCCTTTTGACTCGGGGTAATTGTCCATAGCAAACTTATCTCGTATTTTATTTCAGGCTCAGCATTTATTACAACTTATATGTTACCCTAATGGTATACCCACTGCTATGGAAGGCAATGTATCTGACAGTGAACAAAAACAAACCATAGGAAGAATACTTAGGGTGAGTGTACACAAGAGGTTGGCATGAACAGCTGGCATGTACAGCTGGTAATATGTATGATCAATAACATTTTTTGAATTTCTTTTGATTGGCAGTTGTTTCAATGCGCAATATTTGGAAATATGAAACATACATGCCCCTGTTCATTAGGTCTGCCAGTATATATGCTTGCTGACTTTTATTTCTGCCAACACTTAAAATACCATGATTATTATGTGCTATATCAGTCAGTGCTTGGAGGTGTCTTCGAACAATCATCTTACCGGTATATGTCAAGTAGATCTGTTTGGTGTTTTTTGATAACTTCTCTGAAACCAATAGCCACTTGTCAAAACTGATGAATAGGGATATGAACAAAATTTAAATATATTGTTTCAGACCCTAAACCAGTGGACATTGAGAGTTTCATGGCTGGAGCTACAGTTGATGTTCAAGCAATGTCAGAATTCTGAAATGAACACATTACTGGATAACATTGCAAAGGCTACTATTGAGGTATTCCAACAACAAACTGAGGAAAACGTCAAGATGTCCAATAATATTAATGGTGGTAAACGAAAGATGACAACCCAGCAATTGAGGTGAGTACAGTGAATACCAAATGCAGAATACCAAAAGTGAATGAGAAATAAGAAACTTCAGAAATCTAGAAATCCAGTAGAGCAAATGAGTTTGTCTCTGATTAACACTAAAACAATAATGACATAGCAGGAATAAGAAAATTATAATGCTATCATAACACAGTGCACAATCAAGTTCATGTAAACAAATAATGTACATTACATGTGACATGTATGCAACTCATTTTGAACATAACATAACAACAGAGTTCTATTTTCCCTGGAAACTTTTTTAAATCAAACACTTTTCTCATCTCCTTAATAAATACCATATTTGCTCTATTAGAAGTGCATCTCCAGTGGAAGCTTCACATGAACCAAAACAAAAAATATATTTAGTTTGTAAATCAAAATGTTTCTTATTTTGACCATGCACACACCTGTGTAATCACAGATATAATATTTATTTTTAGGATAAAGATAGAGGCACAGTAGGACTATAATAGTTAAAATGTTTTGTTTCTCAGAAACCTGAGACTCTAACTTATTTTATGCATATTTATTTCATTGTGCTAGAAATAGTTTCGATAATTTATTTCATGATTGATGCCTCTAGTGAAATTAGTACCATCCATAGATTTTGAAAACCTGAAGGGATTTTTTCCATCGCCCAAAAAAAAGTGGATATAGCAACCAACAACCTTTACAACTCTATTCATTTTAGGGTTGAACAGGAGAGAGGCAGTGTATGGCTGGTAGCTCCATTGATCTCTAAACTTCCCAGTGCTGTACAAGGCAGAGTTTTGAAAGCTGCTGGCAATGTACTAGAGAGTGGCCACAGCGTTTTTTCTTCATCCAAGAAAGACAAGGAAAAACATGCGCAGAAAAGGTTTGTTTCACTTGTAAACTGCTGAAGCCATAATTTGACGACGTTTATGTTTTTATTTTCAGCATTTTTGTCAAAATCAGTGGAAAACTGTGAAAATACATATATATTTTTTTATTGAAAATAAACTACTAGCTTTTCAGTTTAAATTATTCCCTACTAAATTAAAGTCAGTCACAGTATTTTATGTTTGCTGATTTCTCACTTGAGACGCGTCTCATGAAAAGTTCATGAACAATGTTTGATAAAGCATCATAAAAGTCTCTAAAAGTTCAACAATGTTATATAATTTGTGAGGAATTGGCCTAAAATGAACAGGTACTGGTCACATACTATCTTCAAATCAAATTATCTTCAAATTTATTATCTTCAATCTTTCCAATTAAGAAAAGTGCAGACTATAAACAGAATTATTTTGTGATTTGTGATGAAAAAAAAATAGAACTACCGGTAGTGGTGAAAAGTTTAATGATGCTCCAAGATTCTAAAAAACTCAATCTTGGTTGAATCTATGGAAATGTTCAGTGATTTGCAAACAACTTTTGACGAGGATATCTTGCAAATACCATATTTGTGCAAAATATATCCCATAATATGTTTTTTATATTTGATTTGATATCACCATTGTAGTATGTCATTGCTGAGTCACCAACCGTTCCTGTCACTGGTCTTGACATGTTTGAAAGGACAGGACGAACAAAGAGAAGGGTTACTAACATCTTTACAGACGCAGCTAACACAGTTCCTACAGTCACCTAAAGACGTAAGTTCTTTGTGTGTTAGGATGTCCATTTTAGTCTTCAATTTGAATAAGGGACGGTTGTGATGGTCACTGTACATTCAACAGTCTAATTGTCATTCTGGTTATTTCACTGGTTATTCACTTGTGCTCAAAATTTTGTACTTTCCTTTGAAGCAATTTAGATAGGAATAACTTGTGATTGGTCAAAAATCATCACATGACTACAAGACGCAATTTAATCGGTGTAACCATTATAGATTTTAAAATATTTATTCAGAAAAAAATAATAAATTACTAATAAACACACAGCAATTGCCAGAAAAATACGGAAAGTTTGTAAACCCAAATCAAAGAATTTTGTTTGCTATTATTCATATTTTTACAGGATCGATGGGAAGACCCGAAAAGTCGCAAAATGATGCATGAAGCACTGCAACTGAGATTAAGTTTGGTAAGTCTTGCATTTTGCAATGATTTGTCTGTAATTACATCATCGTGATTACAGTGTTGGATACCTGGTCATGATAGAGCGGTTGGTATCAGCATGTTCACCTTGCATCAAGACTGTCGTGAGTTTGATCCATTTTTCAGACCACCAATACACATAAAATGTGGGATATTTAGTGGGAAATGGGTCCTGATAAAATGGATCAGTCTGTGTTTGGTTTCAGTTTTATGCGCACCCAGGCATCATTTTTATACAGGTATTACATTACTCTGGAGTGGCCAATTCCTTCATCAACCACCTGTAGAACAAGTTGATGGCGCTTTCTGATCTGTAAAATGATGTAATAAATTTGTCCAGACTACTTGTGTACTTATTGTACATGTATATTTTTTATATTATATGTTTTACTGCTATGTGAATTTCTTGAGATTTGTTGTTAGTGATTCTGTTATCTTTCACTCTTAAAGGTTGGAAGTATGTTTGATACAATTCTTCGTAGCAATCAGTGGACAACAGAGTTTGCATTATTATTACTGCAATTAATAACAACAGGAACAGTTGACATTCACGCTAGTGGGTACGTATCATCTTGACAATACCGGAAATCATATCCTTGTAAATTAAACCGTGAAATCTCATCGCTACAAGTAGATATTGGTAAACATCTCACATTGGTGGTATCAGTGTCATATAACTGAGAAACTGTTATTGCCAGCTAAAACCTCATTTCATTTTCTTATTTTGCAGGGAGCTGTTCACCACTGTATTAGATATGTTATCAGTTTTACTGAACGGCACTATGGCTAGCGATATGGCAGCGGGACAGTGCCCAGGGGAAGAAAATAAAAAACAACATCAGAGTCTAATAAAGAAATTAAAGGTAAGATGTAGTTACACATGGCGTTTTGAAATGGATAGTGCTTACTTTCAAGACTTAGCATCATTATTCTTCAATCTAATCAACTTTTTGGACGTCTAAGTCATCTTTTGCTGCCTTTTTAGGTTCGCTGTCACTAAAGCGGAGACCAAGCAGAGAACATAGGTTGACTAATCTGTCATCGTGTGTCGTCCGTCAACTTTTTTCATTCAAATGACTTCTTCTCTGAAACTGTCAGCTGGATTGCCTTGCTATGTATAATTCATGCCTTTCTTGTTACACATTGTATTGGAAAATGAACTGGGTTGGCCAATGTTTTCCAGAAATGCTCATGCTCAAGTTTTAGGTCAAGGTCATTTCAAGGTTTATATGTTTGTTGCTTTTATATGGGTGATACTGAACAAGGAGGGTGGGAGGGAACACCTCCCCAAAATCTTCTTTTCCTAGTTTTCACCATGCCCTGTAGTAGTCAACAGCAAAGTATGTTCATTTAATTAACCGAGAAATTCTAGAAATATATATAAATAAGCAAAATCAGCATTGTACTAAAATATTGGCATTTAAAGAGGTTAATGATGCATTACATTTTTAGAGGGAACAAAATCACTGACACCTACCGTAACAACAGAAAATTATACATTCATTTACATCATATAGTAATCTTGAAAAACATTTTTTTATTTTATGAAACTTGTTGGTAAAATGAAATTTGCATATTATAAACAAAATAGTTGCAAAAACAAAGAAAAGTAGGTGTCACAACAGTTTAGTTCATGTCTGAAGAAGCTCCTGCAGGCTCATACAGTCTCTATTACTCTTGAATATCTCCTCCCGGCAGTCACCAACATGAACCAACTTTATTTTTGGGATGCCATTAAGTCTGTCCTGTTAGAGAACACGAGCTAAACTTTATATTTTTTCATCTACTGAGGATGTAGCAATGTATTATGGGAGAGAAATTTACATTGAACATAATGGACAATTATTTATTCCATGATGTAAACCCAGTACTTAAAATTAAATAACAGTTTGTTTTTTTCAAATTTGCAAAAATGTTTGGATTCATAAAATTTGTTTGCTCCATCTTAGCTGAACACAATGTATCAATATGATGAAATACTTGCACTAGTGATGGAAACCATGGTTACATATGATCAATAACAAATCAATGAGAAAAGCAGATACATGTATAATAAATTTTCAGACTAGTTTCATGAATAATTGTCACTCAGATTCTTTTTATTTATTTTCTGTTTTTTACTGAAAGTATAAAAAAACAATGATGCTTTTGTTTGTTTTTTACAGAAAGAACTTGGTGACAAGCACTCTGAGGGGATAGATAAAGTACGCCAGTTATTACCGCTCCAAAAACAGAGTTGTGAAGTGATTACGTGTGAAACAATGGGAACGCTGATTGACACAAAAGGCAACAAGATTGCAGGATTTGATTCTATTGATAAGAAACAGGTATTAATTTTGATACAAGGATTCTTTGGGATTCTAGTTATGCCATTAGAAAGGTTTTCACTGTATAAATGCTCATGGAAGCTGTATCGGCTTGTTTGAAAATGTTAGCGAACATTGAAATGTGTTGCATCTTTGGATGGAATTTGAATTTGAAAGCAAACATATGTTCAATATTCTTACTTTGTTGTAACTGTTAGGGTTATGTTGTAAAATTTTTGAGTTGTTGGTTGTTACATGTAGTTTCTATTTACCGTAATTATGATTACAAGAATTTATAATGTGATTATCTTGAATGGTATGCATGCAGATAGAGTTGTTTCAATCACATCATAGTATTTCTTCTCTTTCTTTAAGGCTTTTGCAACAAATATTTTTTTTGGTTAACATGGAAATATCAATCTCCACTGTTTTATTCTCCATAACATTGATTGTCTTCATACTGTAATTGATAAATGATAATAGGTTGAGAAAAAACGTGATAAAAGCATACACCGTTATGTTATTATATTTTGTTTAGGACAGTGTTGTCACATTGAAATTTAATATCTGGCCATGACATGTTATTATGTGTTTTGACAGGGTTTACAAGTGTCTTCTAAACAGAAAGTCAGTCCCTGGGATATGCTGGAAGGACATAAAAATCCAGCACCTTTATCGTGGGCTTGGTTCGGAGCAATGCGTCTTGAACGCAAGCCGCTTCGATATGAAGATCAACACAGATTACTATTCTATCATACTCACGTCAAACGAAAGCCAACGAGTTACTATCTAGAGCCACCACCACTGCCGCCGGATGAGGAAGAACCGGTACAGCCAGCCAGTCAGGAAATCGAAAAGCCGGCTGTTGACGTTGTGAAGGAGCAAGCAGAACCTAAACCTGAACCTAAAAAGAAGCGACGAACGAAACGAAAGCAATCAATGTCTGCATATCAGAAAACTGAGGTAGGCAATACTTTAGGCATATTCATGTGTTGTTTTAAATGTACATACTGTGTGCTGAATACGGAAGCCCTTCCTCATGAAATCTATGTGTTTTTGAAACATCACTTCTGTCTAATGCTTTGAACACATATCTATAAATATAAAGTAATCAAGTCCATTTCTCAGCCCACAAACATTTTAACTTAAAGCTCAATAAATCTAAACTAAATTTTAACTTTTGAATTTTAATATTTGGTTCTCATCTCTCTTTTCAGTCTTTTCAATTTCAGCGAGGTCCTGTCGGCTTTCCTGAACAAAGTTTTGGCATGCCTCCACAGCCTGTTTATCCTGGTATGCAACCTCAAACTCAACAACAGTCTGCATATTTCTCACAACCATCCATGGCACAAGGTAATTCATTACATCAGTATGATTAGATTATATTGGACAGCTACATTTAAGTTGTATTGTTGGCAGAACTTAGTGACTTGGGACATAACAACATTTACAAGTTATATTTGATTGAAACCTGTCATGTTGTACTCGGTACATTGTTCATATTTACTGCAATAAATTATGTCATGCATTGATATTTTGAATTCTACTGTGGTGCACGTCTGATATTTGAATTTGTCAGTTATTTTTACCAAGATAAATACTATAAATGCATTGAGGCTGATATCTCAGTAAGGAAACTGAATAGTTGAAACTGTACTGGTTGTCACAGGGTAGGCTAGCATCCGACCACAGATAGGCATGCCTCCACTTCGTGCTGTGGGTTCTTTGACACCCTACTGATTAAAATGTCAAAATAAGCCAGCAGATGAGTTGGTTGTCCCCTGTATAAATTATTATCGTCAATATTCCAAAACAATACATTTTTGACTCCCGTGTGCGAAGCACAAAAGGGAGTCTTTGCAGTTACCCTGCCTGTATGTATGTATGTATGTCACTTTTTTTGTTCCACCGTTATCTCAAGAACCACTAATAAAATTTTGGTGAAACTTGGTACATAGATGCTCTGGGATAATGCGCAGAGTTGATTAGGTTTTGGTAAAAATCTATGAATATTAATTACCTAATTTGCATGATATTTAGCTGATTTTTAGCTGTTCCAAGACTGTTTCACTGATATCTGAAGAACCACTCATTGGATTTTGATGAAATTTGGTACATGGATGCTCTGAACTAGTGCGCAGATTTGATTAGTTTTGGGTAAAAATCTGTTAATATTATTAATTACCTAATTTACATTAATGATTAATCAATTTTCGGCTTTTCCACTGATATCTCAAGTACTAATCATAACATTTCAATAAAACTTGGTACATAGGTGTCATATGACACTGCACATACCTGATAGTTTTTAGGGTAATATCAGTAAATATTAATTACCTAATTTGCATAATTAATTAATTTTCAGCTTTTGATATTTCGAGTAGTAATGTAATGATCACGTTTCAATGAAACTTGGACATAGTTACTTGAAGACTGTGCAGAGACCTAATTAGTTTTTGGGTAAATATTTGTGCATATTAATCACCTTATTAGCATAATTAGTTAATTTTCAGCTTTTCACCTGATATCTCAAGTACTAATCATCACATTTCAATGAGACTTGCAACATAGATATTCTAGGACTATGCAGAGACCTGATTAATTTTGGAATAAATAATTGTGCCTATTAATTACCTAATTTGCATAATTAGTTAATTATATGCTGTTCTATGATGTCTAAAAACCACTCATTGGATTTCAACGAAACTTTTAAAGAGTACCCATCACATTTCAATGAACCTAAGACTATGCACCATATTAGTTTTTGGTAAATATTTATGCTTCTTTATATAATAATCACCTAATTAACATAATTAATTAATACTGATATCTCAAGTATTGATCATCACATTTGAATAAAACTTGGTACATAAATGCTCTAGGACAATAGACAGTCTGATTAATTTTGGGTTAAAATCTGTTCATATTAATTCTCTAATTAGCATAATAATTAATATTTTTTTGGTTCTACTCACATTTCAATGAAACTTGGTACATTGTGCAGACCTTATTAGTTTTACACTTAAATCTGTTCATATTAGTTACCTTATTTGCATAATTAGTTTTCAGCTATTCCATCAATATCTCAAGTATAAGTAATTTTGAATTAATTTTTAATGTGTCTCCAAAACTCTCAGCACACGGGAGTTCTTTCTAAGCTTTCTTTGATTGCAATTTGTTTTTTTATTTCTAGGTCCAATGGACCGGTCATCCAATCAGCCTGGAACTAAACAAGCATTGTCTACTTACCTGCGAGCTCGTCACACAGGCAACCAATCACAGCCTCAGATGCAGCAGGTAGGGTACAAACTAAATCATTTTTTTTTTTCTTTGCCCTCATGTGTGATTGTCGGAATATCTCAATCAAGGCAACCCTGATTTATTATATGATTATGTCACCGTTTCTACCAATCAGATGGTGGCACAAGTTACTAGCACTGTCATGTGACTTGATTACATGCCAATCACTCATGAAGGTGTACTATACTATATATGCAGGTCGTATACTCTGTATTGTGGTTTGACCGTGATGACACTCACTCACCATCCACTGTTAATGTTAAAGGGTAGCCTAAATTGTACAATACTGAAAGACTACCGCACATGTTCAAAGTCAACATGTCTAACTCTTTGCCAGTATGGTTTATTTCATCATACATGAATGGTGTAATTTTCAACTCGTGCATTCATTGTATCTCAGTATGTAGAGATTGCTTGACACCATAGTTTGTTTTTGGGGGGGGGGGGGGGTGAAAATGTAAATTTTCAGATCAGTGACGATGCATAGCCAAAAATAAATTGCTTTGTCTGTACTACACACACAGACAACTCCAACATTAGAATCCTCATGCGCTTTTGGTGTTACATTAGTATTAGATTTTGCCTCATTGGTGTGAACAATCAATCAAGCTCAGTCAATGTTCATTGTGATTCTCTAAACACTTGACTGTCATGTCATGTGACTGTCTTGTCCACATAACAATGCTTTCAGTCAAACTGTAATGGATAAACGACTACCGATGCCACTTGGATACAAACCCAAATCACCGTGTTAGCTATAAATTAATAAACTGTCATCACAGTTGAAAACTACTACATTTCTGTACGACTGCTATATGGTATGATTTATAATGTATTGTATGACATTATCTGTTGTATTACAGTAAGCAGCTTTGTTTGCATCACATAAACAGTCTGGCCTTCCTATCTCTCACCTGCAACATCCACTGTATTAACATTGCTTGAAACAATGAATATATCCCATATTATTGTTCACTGTTTGTTTGTTTCTTTTTCTTTAATTATCAGAGAAATTTTTTTTTCCTCCACTATTAAATGAGTTAGTGAATATACGCGCTGTTGTTCCATGCAATATGTAACGCTTGTACTTGTTTTCCATGGTATAAACTCCTCACAGGATTTAAAGCATCATTATATAGTGGTATTCCATTGTACTGTAAAAAGCATGTTACAGCAGTATACTGACAGTAAAAAAAAAAAAAAAATCAGATTTCTCAGCTTGGCTCTTCTCCCCTCTTCTCTGTACAATCCAATTTGCCATACATTTACATGTGAAGGAAGGGTAGTCCTATTTTTTTGGTTTAATACATAATATCTGCCATGTGTATTTTGTATTTTTTTCTGTTAATTTTTTTTAATCACGATCTTGATAATCTCAAATAAATATTTGTCAGGTAAAACATTAGGATTTTGTTTTTGTTAATTTCTCGCTGCCCTTCTGACTCATTTGGTACATCAGTGCTCAGTTTGTTGAGAATAGATTAAAAAAACATTCCTGGATTCCAGGTCCCTGGATGATAGTAAATCATACTTTTTTTTGGGCTGATACTTTGGAAATGTTTTCTGGGCAGTTTCTTTATAGCTATAAATCAATGTATAATTACTTAAACCAAAGCCAAGCTGAGAGTATGTTTTTTGTTTGTTTTTTACATGTCAGTGAACAATGCATGCAAATAGCAATAAACCTGGATATGTTAAAAACCCTGGTACACTCGTCTGTCTTGTATCTCCCATTGTGTAAAAGTATTTATGCTTCAAAGGTGCGTATGGTTACAGTCACTCCCACTCAGCCACGGTGGAAGTATTTTCACACAGAATAGAATGAATACCACACGTACATTAGTGTTAGTTGTGAATGACATCAACAACTTGCATCATGTATGTTTCGTTATTCATAACGATGTTGGATTTGGACAAATGAATGATATTTACGTTCAACTTTTTAGTGTCACAGGGATGCCCGAAAATTGCACTTTGGGAGAGTATTTGTCAGTTTATTAGTGTTTTGAGGACTATTATGTGGTATATTTGATGGCAGGAATGTATGGGAAATATGATCTCTCTGATAATTTCAGTGATTTTCAGCATGACCAAATGTTCAAGATTAAATGAATGTTCCAATGAACGTTGTTTCACAAAGATTCATTTTTGTAATTTGAAATACTGTATTTGCTCTATTAATCTGTTATATATTTACATCAATACCAGAGACATGTTCATGGTCAAAATATGTCATTTTAATAATCAAGTATACAATAAAAAATGAAATATTTGGTCTATGTGTGCTACAATTAAAGAATGTACTTCTAATTAGAGCAATTATTGAATGACTTAATCCGGACAGATATATTCCCCTCATTTTGCACACACTCATCTTCTATAATCACATAATAGTTCTAAATCATCAATAAACTTTAAAACTATTGATACTATGAAATACAAAGTGTTATATTTTTGCTCTTCTGTGAACACTATATATGTAAACATACAGTTTGGTGTAAACGTAAAGTTTGGTGTAAACGTAAAGTTTGGTGTGAACGTGAACTCTGAAGGAGTGACTGTAATCACATGTCTGTGTACTTTAGTGTGAGCACACTGACTAACACTATGCTGACATGTTTCCATAGCAACAAGATCAGGCATTTCCGTTTGGAAATCCACTCTTTAAGGTAATTGTATTGAATTTACCTGTGATCTTTCATTTCATCCGCCCCTCTTTCAATAACCTTAGTTGAGTCTTCTTGTGTATATTAGATTTTGCAAGGCAGCTAGCTCTTCATGGCTCACTTTTATATCAATTTATAAATTGACTATTTTCATAATTGAGACATAATTCCATAAGTCCTGTATAATTTACATATGGATATTGACTAATTTTCATATAACTATAATAACTTTATTGCTAAATTACCATCTTTTGGTACTGTTTGTACACAAGTACTGTACTCCTATGTGTTATTAGCTCCCTTTCTAATTGACCTCAGTGCATGTGTGCTTGTGTCTGTTCATATCCAGCAGTATGCCACACACGCTCAGACCAATCTACCTCAAACTTACATACATCCCAAAATCAGACATTATATCATACTCATGCACTTGCATTTGTTTCATGATCCGATTCAAGATGACCACCATTTTAAGGCCAAAAATGCAACAAAAACCAGATCTCATTCGTGTGGGGACAGATTTAGTTTAAACTTGGTACAAACATTAAACACAATGGGACCTTGATGCAAGTCATTTTATTTTCCGGATAGAATTAGTGGCCATTTTATTTAAAAAAATCTGTTTTGAATCTGTATATCTGGCATGTCGTGACCGATCAAATTTAAACTCATGGATAGTACATTATATCTGACATATCCACATGCATTTGTTTCATGACCTCCACTGATCACATTTCAATGCAAACCTAATTTGCATAATTAGTCAACTTTTCGGCTGATATTTCAAGTACTAATCATTACATTTCAATGAAACTTGGTGCATAGATGCTCTAGGACAATGCACAGACCTGATTAGTTTTGGTTTAAAATCTGCATGTTAATCACCTAATTTGTGTAATTAGCTTATACACTGATATCCCAAGTACTAATTATCCCACTTAGTACATATATACTCTAGGATAATGTACAGACCTGCTAAGTTTTTGGTTAAAGTGAGGTCATATTAATTACCTAATTTGCATAATAATTTGTAACATTTTGGTTCTAATCACATTTCAATGAAACTTGGCACATAGATGGTCTGTGACATTGTGCAGATCTTATTAGTTTTACATTAAAATATGTGCATATTAATTACCTGATTTGCATAATAATTCATATATTTTGAGTTAATTTTAATGCGTCTCCAATACTCTCAGCACACAGACGTACTTTCCAGCTTTCTTTGATTCTGATGAGGTTTAAAATTGTAAACTGATGGTTATCTTGCTTAAACAAGTGCAGTTCAATCAAGTATCAAATTTAAACTTTACGCATTCATCACACATCAGGTTGAATTACATTAGACTGACTGTAAACATTTTTGTCCTAAAACATTTGTTCTGCATGTTTCTCCTGTCCACCTGGACTGATTGACACAGTCACGAAAAATCTGAAACTGAACAGGGACTATGTCATCTACAATGACTTTTTAATATATGAGTGGTGACTAATTTCATAAGAATGGTGTCTGATTTATGTATGAATGAGGTGAGCCTAGAATGCCAGGGATGTGCCAGAGCTGAGGCTTATAACTTGATTTTGTCTGTCTGTCTGTCTGTCCATGTGTACGCCCTTGGTTATATCTCTGCATGAACAGATTTCATTCAAACTTTTACCCATGTTTATGTATTAGACAGGTACATTTTTTTTTTTAATTATCTGATTCATGTACAATAAATGGGTATTTGGGGCGAAACAAAAGTCTTTTTTGGTAAAAAAAAATAAAAACTAACTTCCATTTGATGGTCACTCTTTCCTTAATTTTAAGTCTGTATAGTGATAGTCCTCATTATGGAGACAAATTAAATAAAAGCCTTACAGCCAATATTTTGCTAGCCCGTTACTGGGCACACAAATTGTTTTTTTTTTTACCTTATCTATATTGCCAAAAAGCCAAAGAAATAGTGAAATTGGATGTGATAGAAGTGTAAAAATTACAGTGAAATAAAAACAAATCAAACTTTGGAGTGCTTTCGGTGTGACTATATGTATCTGAAAAATTAAAATCGATAATTTTTAAAGTGCAGTGACATCAGATGTCAAAGGTGAGGATCATTGGACAACACAAAACTCCATCCATGATCAAACATTCTATTAAACAACTCATTACATATTTATATCTTACTTATTCTCCTCTTAAAAAAAGTCTGCAAGTCTAACAATGTCTTAAATTTGGTGGAAATCCATGAAGTGGTTTTTAAATGAGAAAATTAATATGCAAATTAGGTACTTGGTATGCACGACTGTATGTACTTAGTAAGCAAAATTTGCATAATATGCACATACATGATCCAAATTCTAATCATATATCAAAGACATTTTTCATCATTTGGACTTTTAAAAAACTCAGTATTTGTTACAATTCAATCGGTGTGAAGTACAGAACTGAATATTGTGTGGTTAAATAGAAGTGAGGTGTCTCTTCACTCCAAAGATGAGTGGTACCATGGAAATTGGAGACTGGATGTTTATCTAAGGATGGCACTTCCCACTGTTGTCCAATACTACAACCTGTCTCTGTTGCCTGCACTCGTGAGAAAAATCATATACCATTCACAGAAATTTACTTTGTTACAATCTCAACAAAATCAGAAATTATTTAAATGTATTGTTTTTTGTCCACAAATTAGCGTCTCCTATTATTTACTGGTACCATTTCAAGTATATTTATCAAGTTTAACTATTAACTTTAAATGTATGCAACTTTGATTATGTCTCAACGACACATAAAAGCTGTGCTTGGTTTGGTGCAATTTTCTCTGTGTTTACCTTTTCCTACAATGCATGACCCAGCATGACACCAGTCCAAAGTTGTACGTATACAAGGTTATATGTATTGGTGGCAACCATTATTGCGAGCCATAATCCCGACAGAAGCAACTAGAATTATTACACATCATCTTATTATATATTCTTATAAAAGAAAATTCTTGATACTTTATGTACACTACATGTTTGGTTTGTTAGTTGCTGTAATTATTGCAAAATTTGAAGAAGAAAAAATTATTTTGAATTGAATTATGTTAGTTTCAGCTGAACGTTACATGAATTCAAGATGTATTTACTCGGATATTCAGTTTTTATGTACCAATAATTGTTTAATTTTATTTCTTTGTTATTCTAAAGTACCATTTTGAAAAGCACAGGCAGACTTTGTTACGGCAACAGTTGCGACAACAAAATCTTCAACAGGGGAGAAGTGTGAGCGCAGAGAATGCTGCGCTGTTTCCCCAGTACAAAAGTCAGCAGGAGCAAAACTTAGGCCATATACCTCAGCCATCAAATGTAAGTACCATCATCTTTATAGCTAGGATGTATTAATGTGAGGGCTTACAAAGTAGGGTGATTTTTTTTCTCAACAATCAGCAAGGTATTTTTCCCAAAAATGGAGACATTCTCCTGATTATATACATGTATTTGACAAATCTCCCAATAAAATTGTTAGGTGTGAACAAATTAGGTTAAAATATCAGGAGAATACCTCCTAGTCAAGAAACCCTATTCTATCTGTACTATAAAAAAAAATTTGTTTCAAACATTGATAACTCGCCCTAAAAATGGGCATGTAGTTTACTGTTGCGCTGTTCTAGATATGCACGCACCTCATTGCTCGTCTTTGGGTTGTTAGTCCCCGTTCGGACGAAGTCCGAAAACGGGGACTTATAATTCGGTCTCCCTCCGTTCGTCCGTCCGTCTTGTTTTTGAAAATGTCGTATTTTGGACATGCATTGTTAGTTTTCATTCAAATTTTGTACATAGATCATACATGTTAGGATACATGTCCCCGGCCGTCCGTGAGTTCCTGAGTCTGACCGTCCGTCCGTGCGTCAGTCTGTCCAGAGTCATATCTCAGAATCCCTTGGACCGATTCCGTTCATTCTTTGCATGTGCTTAGTATCTTATGTGGGACATATGCACATGCAGTGGTTTAGCGATTCGATTCAAAATGGCCGACTGGCAGCCATCTTGTTTTTTGAAAATGTTGTATTTTGGACATGCTTTGTCAGTTTTCATTCAAACTTGGTACATAGATTATACATGTTAGAATACATGTCCATGACGATTTATTTCTCAATTGGATCAAAGATGGCCGACTGGCAGCCATCTTGTTTTTTGAAAATGTCGTATTTTGGACATGCTTTGTTAGTTTTCATTCAAATTTAGTATGTAGATCATACATGTTAGGATACATGTCGCCGACCGTCCGTGAGTTCCTGAGTCTGTCTGTGCGTCAATCTCTCCGTCCATCCATCCATCCGTGTGTCCGTCCGTCCGTGCGTCAGTCTGTCCAGAGTCATATTTTAGAATCCTGTGGACCGATTCTGTTCATTCTTTGCATATGCCTAGTATCTTATGTGGGACATATGCACATCTAGTGGTTTAACGATTCGATTCAAAATGGCTGACTGGCAGCCATCTTGTTTTTTGAAAATGTTGTATTTTGGACATTTGTCAGTTGTCATTCAAACTTGGTACATAGATTATACATGTTAGGATACATGTCCATGACGATTTATTTCGCAATTGGATCAAAGATGGTCAACTGGCAGGCATCTTGTTTTTTTTATGTGTGGTATCTTGAACGTGCTCTGTCAGTTTTCATTCAAATTTGGCACATACATGTACTTTATACGTGTTAGGATGCATGTCCATGACAGTTTGTTTCAAAATCTGGTCAAGGATGGCCGATTGACAGCCATCTGACTTTTTGGCCTTACTACTATATTTCCACAATTTATGTACCATTTTCATTTGTATTTGGCACATACATCATACATATCAGTGTGTTTCATAATCAGATCAAAGATGGCCGAATAACGGCTGTTTTTATTTTTGGCCATATTACTACTACAAGGAACACGTGTTTTGATGTAAATAAACAATCTGTTGTATACGCCACTTGGAACTCAAGTTTCAAGGACATGCTCGCGATAACCCCTCCACTTTAATATGACGACCACAAAGGGAACTTTCAAAAATTTAACGGGGACTGTGTCATTTTCAATGCCTTGTTAAAAAATGTCTTCTTATCAGTTAATTGTCTCCTGACCCTGACCTAAATTTGTCTCTCGATTTGGAGAAAATTCTCTTGCTGGCAATGTTCACATTCAAACCTTTTGAGGGTGAAATTTACGATTCATCCAGAATTGACATTCTTTAATAAAAATATACTTTTAATGCCCAATATAAAAATATACAATAAAATTGTTCAATTCAATAAAATAAAGTGGAAACCTACAACCATTCCTCCCTGCTGATTTGCAATAAATCTCCATTCTGAAATTACTGTTGCAGTTGTTACAAGGGAACTTCAAATGAAAATGTTGTCTCGAATGTGTATACACTTTTGTAATTGGTTTTTAACATTACTAGTGAATTGTCCTGATTGTTATCAGTTTTGTAATCACTGTAAACAACTTAACTTTTTGAGCACCAAATTTACCGGTAGTTCCTGCTCAAATTGGTCTTAAACTTGCTTACATTTTGTGTAATTTTCACTGAATTCAATTTTAATGTTGGAACAAAAATGCTTCTTGTTTCTAATCTGAAAAATTTAAAGTTTTTACAAATTTTTATGTGAAAATTTATCTGTTCCCTACATCCTCAATGTTCTACTTCTTGAAAGGTGACTCCTTTGGATAGTAACAAGCTCACAACTAATCATTCATTATTTCTTTTTAAGGCCACAATTAAAGTTATTTGCATAATTTCAATTACAACATGGACACAATAAAAGCCATACAGAATTCCAGTTATGGATAATGGTTTTAGGTTTAATAAAACCTGCATTGTTCAAAAATTTTGAATTTTTCCATCTCACTTCTATTTAGGTATCTGGTGGTTATGGTAATTATGTTCCCGGTCAGCCACTGCAACCTGACATGGCAAGTGCAGGAGTTCCAAGATCAAGTGGAATGCTGTCTCCATCATACGGTGCAGGCTATACCAATCAGCCAATGATGCAGCAAATGAGACAGAACCAGGGACAGTACATCACCCAGCAGCAGCAACAACAGCAGCAACAACCTCCACTGCAACAACAACAACCACAACAACCTCTCTCTACTGTGAGGTGGGTACATTATGTTTATGCTTTTATGGAAATCATAAAAAAGGAACAATATTCATTCAAACTTGATACATTTGGTATGTACTAGGGATATTTTGGGCACTTATAGTCAAAAATTTACCTTTTTGGTTAAAGAAAAAAAAGCTAAAAACATTCTCTGCTCATTTCAATGAAATTTACTACAGAGGTGTATTACAAAAATGTGCGTATGCACATCATTTTGGATTCGTGCATGTTATTATCATTTGGGGGTCCAAAAACAGGGTGAAAATGCATTTTCTGTTCTCTGCCCTGCATTGACCAATTATGAACAGCTAATATTTTGGAGTGCATACAGGCTCTCATGTACACGAACATTCAACAATCTTAATCAAACTTCATACTCATGAAATTTCTATTTTGTTTATTCAATTCTTAAAAGTTTATGCGTGTCATTGACATTGACTTGTTATACATAGAATGAGCTTACTTCACATATAGGAATTGAGACTTTAGGAGAATATGTTTGTGTGGCATTCATACTATCTATGATTGTATTCTTGATTTAACAGACTACAGCATCAGTTACAACAGCGTAATCTACAACGGAGCGCTTCACTACCTCAGCAAGGTCAGTCCTATATGCAGCAACCCCCGATGATACCACAGCAGGAAAGACAACAGCTGATACGACAGCGGCAGCAGTTACTCGCCATGCAGTCACAACAGATGAAAACACAGGAGCAAGCACAGACACAGGCACTTGTCAGACAACTACAAAGACAGATGTCAGGAGGTGTGCCCCCGCAACCCCAGTTGAATCCGTACCAGCAGCCACCAAATCAGTTCTGACAACCTTAAATGAAACATGCATGTACCAATAAATCCCCAACCACCCCAGCTGAATCTGTACTAACAACCAACAGATCAGTTAAGAGAACCTTAAGTCAATCCTACATGTTACTTCCCCACACCCACACAGCAAGCACCAAGATTCGCTTGGAATCTGCATGCTGTGTACATATAGGCATTGCTTTTGATAGTGCTTGACTTTATTATTGGAGTAACATTTTAGATCCTAGTATTTGATTAGTATATCCAATTAATCTTAAAGTGTGCAGTGAAAGTCGGTTTCATACTGGTGCTAAAAATGGTGTCAATTCTTGAGGATTACCTCATGGTTATGTTTAAATTACATGTTTAATAGTACCGGTACAGACCAGTATTCAATATTACAAGTCACATAGAGTTATGGGTGATGTGTATCATCAACAACCACATTTTAACAATAATCAAGATAGATTTGGTAATAATAATATTATCCACAGGATGCATTCAGTTTGAATATGACATTGGGGTCAGAATTTTAAGAAAGCGTTTGTGTGTAACCCTGAAGTCAACTTTTGTCACCTTCTACAAAATAAAGCTATTAAGTTTTTGGTAGTTGAATTCATGTTAGAATCAGGCTCTTCAAAACAGTGACTCAAAAAAAATTGAGTTTTGCTGCAAAAATATACTCTGTTGCATTATGTAATAGTGTTATTTATTAATATGTATTTATTTTCATGGTTGACACATTGAGCTACCAGCTTATAGTCCCTGTTCAGACTTAATCAGAGAACAGAGACTTGTACACTGCTCTGCATCTGTGTTTATGTGCATCTCGAACATGCCTGAATTGATCACATTTCACACATACATATGGTTATATCTAGTTATGTTTTGACCTTTGTGTGTCCGTGTGTGTGTGCCTGTATCTTAGAATGCCTGAACCAATCACAGTTAAACTTCACACATATATTATACATATGCACATCAATTTGTTTCACGATCTGATTCAAGATGGCCGAATGGTGGCCATTTTTGCGCTGAAAAGTTAAGCATTCATGGATGGATTTTGTTCAAACTTGGTACATACATTGGACGTTATGAGACCTTGATGCACATCATTTTATTTTGCAGATCTGATTTAAAATGGCCGACTGGTGGCCATTTTGTTTTAATGAATGCAGTTCTAGTGCCATATTTCTGCCATGTTTTGACTGACTATGTTCAAATTTTATATATTCATTATAAATCATGACACCAATATATTGGTTTGACTATCTAATTCAAAATGGCCAAATAGCAGCCATTTTTGTGCTAAAAAATCATCAAAAATCAAGCATTTCTGGCATTCCAGAACTGAATCTTAGCATTTATGGATGGATTTTGTTCAAACTTGGTACATAAGTTGGACATTATGGGACCTTGATGCACATCATTTTATTTTTCAGATCGGATTAAAAATAGCTGACTGGTGGCCATTTTGTTTAAATGAATTCACTTCTAGAGCCATATCTCTGATATGCTTTGACTGATTATGAGCAATATTTCTCAATATGAACAAGTACTCGTTTGACGATCAGATACAAGATATCAATCATTTTAATGTTAAAAAATCATCATAATCAAGCATCATCTTCCGGATCCATACTTTTGACCTGTTTATGTTCCAACTATATTACTAAAACAAAATGATATACAAGTATCTTAACTGGCATGCCATGATGGCTTAGTGTTTGGCATTCAAGAGCTAAAAATTAACCATTTACCAACGTCAGCACTTCTGCCATTCCTAAACCAGATCTTTGTCATACATAGACAAATTTAATTCAAATTTGATATATACATTGATCATGGAGACCTTGATGCAAGTTATTTTGTATACAGATTGGAATCAGAATGGCCAATTGGCAGTCATTTTGATTTTAAAAATGCTATTTTGAAACCATTTGTTAGCTCCATGGTTAGACATGCCTGCACCGATCACATTCCAACTTCACTGATACATAATGTCGTACATACATTTGTTTCGCAATCAGATCAAGATGGCGGTATTATTTTTAATAGCAATTTGCCCGCCTCCACCCTGGCTTTCTGCTTTTCCTCTATTTGCTCCTATGTATTTATAAACTATGTCTTTCTGTAGAAGTGTTGTATATGCATACTGTATTCACCATTATTTCAAAACTTTTTTCATCCATTTCTGCATAATTTATCACTAAACTGCAATATCCTGTCTTGTTTTAGTAAACACCTCTCCCAAGAAGGGGCCACGTTCTTGTATGTGCGAGGTTAAATTGCCTTCAATAGTTAGTAGATGAATATTATGGTTTATATATTCATTGTCCCTGTCAAGAGTATATCACTTTTAGAGTATTTTAACACTTTATCGTTGTACTGGTATAACATGGGTAGTATAGTGGTGTAGGGAAATCAATGAGATGTAATTACACTAACACAAACACTAAAGGGGATTACAGAGGTACTCGGCAGAGAGGAGGAAAAGATATTCAGTTTGAATAAGTTTACAAGGATCATGTTTGGATTAGTTTTAATGTACCTCCTTAGTTTCTGTTATTTTGTTTGTTTTGTTTTATCGTTGAGAAAACTTGTATACATGGTATAAATAATGGGGCTGAATACTGTCCAAGTAATCAGGAATGAGATTGACAAGTCAGCAACAGCAATTTTTAGCATCACTTTTTAGCATAAACTAATAACGCTGCTACAATCATTTTGCATACCAGGGGTAATACTGGAACATGTCATCTCGCCATTGAGCTACTGAACTCAATAATCTGCCATGCCTTTTGCATTCTTGCATACCTTTGCTCTGTTGCCCCTTTTTTTGTTTCAATGGTAAACTCTATATGGCTTACAAATGTGCAGACAAATTAGATGTTGATTGTAACGAACATTAAACCACTACACGTCATAGATGTTCACATTCTACTCTAGATACTTGCAATGTATTCTATCTGCATTCTATCTCATACCATTCCTTTTTATGGATATATTTTCACTTTATGCAGTTTAGGAGGTGGGGAGGGGGAGGGGTGTCTACTATCAGTCAAGTGTACTAAACACAAGTGTATCAAATGTTTTAATAAAGTAAATGTCAAAACAACAAATTGTCTTTTTTTTGTGTTTGTGTAATATATGTTTGGTGATTTAATTCTTTAAATTGTGTTTATTTTGCATTCCTCTTCCAACCAAGTGTTCTTCTCTTGTATATGATTTTTTAGCACCGAATCGCACATAGGATTGTCTGAAGCATTGGTCAGAGAGGTACACTAGAATCTTGAGTTAAATCCTTATGCATCTCTTGAATTTATAGGATGAATATTTGAGAGAGTAACAAAAATACCACTACACTGGGCCTTTTACCATCAAAATACATTTGGGACAATCAGGCCAAGCAACAATACGAAGAAACACTAGAAATATGAAAACATGACATTGACAGTTTTATAGAAAAACAGTATGATAGTAAAACTGATACTGAAATTGCTGTTAATGGTTTTGAAAATCTTATATTAAAGATAGCTGACAAAGGCATCAGAAAAATTACACCTAAAATTAAAAAAGGTAAACATAAAAATAAAAGTAAAAAATGGTTTGACTAAGATTGTCGGTCTACATGAAAGGAACTTCACAGCCTTTCTAAAAGTTTAGAGAAATATCCTTTAGATCCTTATATACGTGGCAAATACTTTAAAACATGTAAATATTATAAAAAGCTTATTAAGTATAAAAAAAAACAGTAAATTATTTCAGCGTAATGAGTTAGAACATTCTAAGGCAGATTCAACTAAATTCTAGAATATTCTTGGGGAATTAAACAATGATAACACTATTAATTCTAATAGCGATATCCAACCAGATTACTCAAACGCTTACTAAATAATAATTTGTCAACATCCTTTATTAACACTGATCTGGAAAAAGAAGAAGAGAAAGCCGAGTAAAACAGTGTTAGACTCGCCAATTGTTAAAAATGAAATTAGGAAAGCCATTAACTTACTTAAAAATAATAAATCCTCTGCCGAAGATGGACCCATGGATGGAAAATTTGTAAAGAAATGTTGAAATATGGCCAACATTATTTTGTAGATGCATTACATAAGCTTTTCAATATGATCTATAACAGAAATACCTACCCTCAGTCTTGGAGTATGAGCCTTCTAGTACCCATACATAAATCAGGATCTAAGTGCCCCCCGTCAAATTACAGAGGAATAGCTATCTCTAGCTGTCTGGGAAAATTATTCAATAGTATTCTGAATAAAAAAACCATTCTTTCAAATTACCAAATTTGGATTTAGGCGTGAATGTAGGACGACAGACAACATTTTTAGTCCCCGTTCGGACGGAGTCCGAAAACGGGGACTTATGTTTTGCCCTGTGTGCGTCCGTCTGTGCGTCCGTGCGTCCGTGCGTCCGTGATCACCTGTATCTCGAACATGCATGGACCGATTATGTTCAAACTTCACTCATACATCACACATTATATGGGACATATGCACATGCATTTTTTTCATGATCCGATAAACGATAGCCGAATAGCGGCCATTTTAAGGCCGAAAATGCATCAAAATGGCACATTTTCACCATTCCGGACCCGGATCTCAGTTATGCATGGACGGATTTCGTTCAAATTTGGTACATACATTAAACATAATAGGACCTTGATGCACGTCATTTTTTTTTTCGGATCAAGTTCGAAATGGCCGACTGGCGGCCATTTTGTTTTAAAGAATTCAGTTCTGGATCCGTATCAGAGACATGTCTGGATTGATCAAGTTCAAACTTCACACACACAAGGTACATCATGTCACAAATATGTATGTGCATTTGTTTCATGATCCCATTAACGATAGCCAAATGGCGGCCGCTTTAAGGCCGAAAATGCATTGAAATCGCACATTTTCACCATTCCGGACCCAGATCTCAGTTATGCATGGACGGATTTCATTCAAATTTGGTACATACATTAAACATAATAGGACCTTGATGCACGTCATTTTTTTTTTCAGATCAAGTTCGAAATGG